AGTTAAGAGTCAACCACGCCTACCTAAAATGGCTCGTTCTAACAAGCCCCTACATATCTACGTCCCTGTGTGGGAAGATTTGTATAACGCCGCCCAAATGTTCACGCAAAGAAAGAAGGCGTAACTTTGATTCTCACTATTGTATTGTTGCTGCCGCCATGTCGTGAAGACACTGTGTTTCCAATGCCAGCGTCTGTTTCTATAAAGTGGGGCAATTCCAACTTTGCAAGGACAGTCTGGCGCTTCATGACTCAATTCAAACGCGAGTTTTGAGCAGAGTAGAGTAGCGCTTGTTGTTTGTCATTTCTCCGATCACAACAGGAGACATGGTTTTATGTTTACGCAGCGCGATACGCAACGCAACGCGTAAAAAGACAGTATAAGTCATCATAATCAGTAATTATGTCCCCACTGGATGCAACAAATGCCTCGTTTGTAATGGGTTTTACTGGTTTTGTCTCTTCGCGTATCACAGGCGCACGTGCATCACCGGCGCACAGGTGCTCGTCGCACACACAGCATCGCAATATGGTAAGGGGCTGATGATGCATACAGGGAACTTGAGGAAAATGTTACATTTCTGCCACACGCTTGAGGTATTCGGCCAATCACAACGCACTGGATTGCTGGCCAATCAGAGCACACCTCGCTTTTCAGACTGATGAGCTTTGTAAAAAGCGCACAGGTGCTCGTCGCACACACAGCATCGCAATATGGTAAGGGGCTGATGATGCATACAGGGAACTTGAGGAAATTTTACATTTCTGCCACACGCTTGAGGTATTCGGCCAATCACAATGCACTGGATTGCTGGCCAATCAGAGCACACCTCGCTTTTCAGACTGATGAGCTTTGTAAAAATCGACGCTTCAGAAAGGCGGGGCATAGAGAAGAAACAATAATGTACGGTATGTGGAAAATAATGTGTTTTTTGAACCTTAAACCGCATAAGCACATTGCATTACACCAAACCTACACAAAATAATGTTCTGTTTAGCAACGTCATATGATCCCTTTAAATAATATTTTTATTCAGTAAGGACACGTATAATTGATTCAAACTAAAAGTAAAGACTGTTACAAGACTTCCTATTTCAAATAAATACTGTTTTGTTTGAACTTTTCATTCATTGAAGAATCTTGAAATAAAAATGCATCACAGATTTGACCAAGTAATAAGCAGTGCAACTGTTTTTAACCTGATGAGATAATAATAAGAAATGTTACTTGAGCACCACATCATGATTTCTGGAGGATCATGTGACACTGAAAACTGCTTTGCCAACACAAATGTCTTTTTATAATATATTAAAAGAGTGAGAGAAAAAAAAACATAATTTTAAATTGTAATATTCACAATATTACTATTTTGCTATTTTTGATCAACTAAATGCAGCCTTGGTGAGTATAATAATCTTCATTCAAAATCATAAAAGAAAAATATCTCGATATTTGAACAGTAATGTATCTTTTAAAAGGACTGTTTTTTATTGCACCTTTTAATAAATGATTATAGGTTAGCCTAGTTTGAGTTACCTTAAGTATTGTCTGTAATTGTAGTATGATTACGATGAATGATTTACATTCAGATGGCTTCTTTCTAAGTTGACTTAGACAAAAGTCTGACTGCCTTGTGTTCATTTCATCATTTCATCAATCCGCAACTTTTTCCCTTTTCTTTTTCTTTTACCTGTTGCTGTGCGTTAGATCAATGAACTGAACAAGAGAATGTCTGCCATTGAGAGTCTCTTAAATCGACTGGAAGAGAAAATTACTTTGCCTCCTGATCAGGTATGATTAAAGTCTCAAAACAGAAACACTTTTATTTATTCCAGAACATCTTATTAGGCTATAGCAGAGCTGCCCTTTGTACTAAAAAGTTTGGGCTAAAGGTTTCATGTAGGTCATTCTCATGATTTTAATATTAAGTACTTATTTTGTATGTCTGTAGCCTGTCCAGCCCACAGCAGGGCAGATGGAGGAGGAGAAGCTGAGGAGAAAACTAGATGAGCTGATGAGTGACAAGGCACTTTCCTCTGATGAAGATGAGCCGAAGAGGCCTCCTCAGTCCAAAGGATCCGCTGTGAGGGGGGACCAGGCACCAGTGGCCCCTGCATCCCAAGAACCCCTGAGCTCGTCCAGTGATGAGATGCCCACTGAAGCACAAAAGGTGAGGACTCAGACAACACGCACATCCATAGAGGCCAAAAAATGCTGTCTTTGTCCAAGGTAAGGTTTTCCTCATAAAATATATTTTAATGTTTTTCTGTAGAACAATTAATGCAGATTGAGGTATCTCATTATCAGAGTACTAGTGGAATACAAGTGGGTTTTAAAAGTCACGCAACTTACCACAAGCTTCCCATATTATCCTTAACATATTTTATATAATGCCAGAGCACAGTTACTTTATTAATAATCTTAAAAAGCTGAGTTTTCAATAGCATCTTTATTAACATAGCCTAAGAAACAGCTGAAAGAAGTAAGTAGTTTCCCTGGGTTATTTTCATAAATAATCATTCTCTTATCTAAAGACCATGAAGCATTAGCAACACTTACGCCTCAATTAGCTATAACCTTAGCCATGTAAAATAACATTTTAGGGTTTTGATGCTGATTAGGCTTCTCTCGGTTAATTGCTTTCAGAGATCCACCGCGGCGGCCCTATGCGACATCACAACTGAGATTCTAAGAACAATTAATGCCACAGAAAGCGCTATGAATGAGTTGGCCCCCTCAAATCCTAATGACAGACTTCAGTTAGTGGGCACAGATCTTAAGCAGGCTGATGATGCATACAGGGAACTTGAGGAAAATGTAAGCTTGTCCCTCTAATAGATATTATGTTTGTGTGGAGGAGACAGATTAGACACTTGGAATATCAATGGCATAAACAAGCGGTTTTGTATCACTGAAGTGTATAAGATATTTGTTCAGAACTCTAATTTCTTTCTTATTACCGCAGGTGTACATGACTGCAGGGAAGTCCTTCGATATGGCGAAAAAGTTGCAAATGATTGAGCAGAATACCAAGAATCACTACGGAGGCCCATTAACTGATTCAGAGCTCTCTGAACTGGAGGACCAGGTTGCTTTGGCAGCAACCAAAGTTCAGAGCACAGAAAGTGATGTGAGCTTCTATCTATCTATCTATCTATCTATCTGTCTGTCTGTCTGTCTGTCTGTCTGTCTGTCTGTCTTTATTTATTTATTTATCTTATCAGGTCTCAGACATTGAGAGCAAGATAGCTGATCTAAGTGCTAAAGGATTATCTTTTGATAAAGCCAAGAAAAAGGTGACTGAACAAATAATATATTATTTGAATATTTTCCCAGTTTTCTTGCAGATTTGAACTAATTGTATGTTTTTGTTAATATTTTCTTTCAGGCACTGAGTATACAACAAAAAAGGAAGTTTTCTCAAGACAGAGTACACTTTTAAGTGTAAAGGACATCAATGCTAACTTCTTTAACATTTTACATATTCCCTATGTCATGATATCTGTGCCTATATTACTTGACACTTGATATCTGTGCCTTCTTCATCATATGTTCAAGGTATTTGACACTGATCTTGATGTAATACTAGTAAACCCTTTGTCTCGTCTAAATTGTGTTAGGCAACTTGATCAAATACCAATCTAGCAAAAATCAATATTAGTCAAAATAATGAAATAGTTTATAGAAAATAGGTGTCTAACAAAAATTCATGCCAAGAAAAATAGGATTAATTTTTGTTAATCTCTTAATTTTCCTTGCCTGTTTCGTTCTTCAAATTGCTTTTCCAAAGATTTTAATAATTAATTTGGGATGTTAAATATTTTTTAAGTCCATTGATAGTCACTAAAGATGTAATTTTATCAAGCTATAAATGTTAAATAATTAAACATCTAACACCCAATTGTACCCTTAGAAAATGCTTAGATGCTTTTCCTGCTTGAAGGAACAAAAAAGAATAAAGGAAAGAAGATATTAAACTGCTCCAAGCTGGCTTGCTGCTTGTCACCCAGTCTGTTGGCTAGTTTTAAACAACAGCTTGGTGAGGCTGGGAGACCATCTTTTTTCAGCAGGGTTTTAGTCTTCTAGTGAACATTAGCAGATGCTTTATTATAGATAATGCAACCCAAGGACTCTATTATGCATGAAGAAAGCGACCCATTAGCATTCTTATAGAATCTCTCATTCAAAGTGGTGAAGTGATGCAGTGAAAGGCAGCAGACAAGGAAAAGTTCATTTCAGGCACCATTACAAGAAGGGGATAATTGTTGGATGCTAACGAGCCAAAATGTATTCCCCCTTGCTGCATTCACTTTCCCCTTGGGGCCGATTGTCGAGGAATGTGCTGCCCTCTAGAGGATACATAAACAAGGCTACGTTTAATCCTACAGTGTATATACTACAACCTGAACCTTGTAGTTGGGAATGTTTTATTCTTCCTGTAGCCTAATTAAATTGACCAGAATTAAATGACTATATTATAGTCAGAATTATGAGATTACATTACTGGACTGAATAAAGTGTTAAAACACAGCATATGAAACAATAAAATTTATATTTTTGAGGTTCAAAACTATAACACACACAGTTATATATAAACGGTGTATACAACGTTTTATCACCATAGGGGGCTCTTTTTACAACGACCATGACAATTATGGCATGAAACGATGCTCCAGGTAGCAACATAAATTGTAGTTGTCTAATAAAGCCTCTTGATGGAGCTAATGCACCAGCCCAGACAACAGTGTGGTACGACGTTCCAATCAAATAGGAATATGGTGCAGTAGAGATGATAGATAGATAGATAGATAGATAGATAGATGGATAGATAGATAGATGGATGGATGGATGGATGGATGGATGGATGGATGGATAGATAGATAGATAGTAATATTCTGAAAAAAAAACATGCCCTAAAATGAAACAAGACGGAAATAATTCAAATGCAAAGGTCAGGTCCCGCCCACATGACCCGCCCACTTTTCGCGCAGCGTCCAGCACAGACTGAAATCAGACCGTGTGGCATTGGGCTGCTGTGTATTCTCATCCTAGGGCCGCTCATCATCCGGGTTCGATTTGCCCTAGAAACAAATGCAGCTCTGGACCGATGACTTTATTCTTCATTCGTTTGGTTTGACGTACCGAACTTACGTAGGAAGGAATATTAAGGGATGACCGGCTATATTCTCAGAAGTGCCTACGGTCTATCGTGCTCATGGCGAATCAGCAAACTGTCATCTTCCATCCTATCCGTGATGTTTTGACATATCGATGTGTCGTTTGAATGTGCAACAGGCTCCCGCCATATATTCATGCGTTTTATGGAGACGATGGGGGATCAAAGGGAGGACGTGTCCTAGTGCTCTACATATTTTTGCTTGTGGTTACAATATAACCATTTATTAATGGTGTTCACTTTGAATGGTGCTCTTTGACATATACACAACTGGACAGCACTTCAGTTTGGGGAGGTCATTTTTTTTGTAGAGGTTTGTGTCAGAGTATAAGGGAATTTAAAATGGCAACGCAAGTAACGGGGAGGAAAAGAATTCCCAACCGGGAGAAACTATCTGCGGAGGATGATGCTCTCAGTCAAATAGCTCGCGAGGTAAGATTTCACGTGCTCCCATAGACGTAGCTCTATCATGCTGCGCAAAATGTCGTCTTTTTACCCCAACTATTGGAGTTCCTAAAATGTAAGTCTTAATGGGAATCCCCAGTGATCTTGCTGAATAATGAAAGGGGCTTTGTCGGTTGGGCTGTCCTCCCGTTTCCCGCATGCAGAAAAATGAACACGGATATGATGACGCTCGTGCCCTTTAATAATGTGAATGGAAAACATTGTGCCCCTTGCCCTCCCAGTTATAGAGCGCTTGTGAATGACAAAAACACATTATTCGTCGCAGTCTGAATCCGGGCTTTGTTGCTATAGCTTGACCTACATGATTGAAAGACTTCAGTTATAGGTTATTTATAGTGGTAAACAATCGAGTCGAGCAGTTTTCCCTTTACAAATAGCGTTCGTGCAGTTGAGCAACAGCATCTTCATGTTTGGATACCTGCACAGCGGCGTGACGTCACGAAGCAAAGCTCAAACGAAAAAGCTGAGAGAAGGTCCCAGACTGCTGACGTCAGAAGCTGCTCAGATGCGGCACCTCACACCCAGTAAATGGCCCGAATAGCCTCAAGGATGCATTTTAAAACACACAGAGCTCAAATTGTGCTGATGACTTAAATACTCTGCCGTATGCGATCCAGCATCGTCATGAAATCGTTCGGTTTTCAGTTCTTAATGAAAAACAGACTTGGGGAGTGTGTGTCATGAATGCAGAAAACAAACGGTGCAGGGGTTTATTTGTACTCATCTATTATTATTATTAATTAACAGTTAATTGATATATCGGTTTTTTTTTTGTTAATTTAAGTCATCTTATTCTTTATGTTTCAAAAGGTTTGTGTTTAGTGCCACTAGTCTTTACAACAATAATCGGGTTCTCTGGTTCACTTAAATACCTCTGTGACCTTTTGGATCAACTGACCACATCTGGAAAGCATTTTGTTACTGAAGAATCCACAGTTTTTACTAACACGCTTCTTTCTTTTATTTGACCTTGACATTATCTTGATGCTTAGCTAGTGCCCTTAATAGGCAAACTCTCTGGGTGTGGTATGGAAATGCATCATGGACATAATTAGGCCCATTCCCAGTTCTACCCCTTAGCCCTTCGCCTTTTCCCTACCCCACCGTTTCGCGCGTTCATGTGAAGGGGTAGGGGTGTCTCGATTCTCTTTTGGTTGGAGGGGTTGGGGTAAGGGGAATGGCCAGATAGCTCTTCAAATGATGATTTTTCGAGACCACACTTCAAACGAAGGGGAATGAATTATCTCAGCGTAAACCGGCTTCAGCTGCAACATGGCTGCCCGAGCGAACAAAAAGACATAAGTGTAAGCATTTTTGGCATTAATAAAGATTTTAACAAAAAGTAATCATTTGTTTTATGTTACATTCGATCGTGAGTTCATATTTACGCTCATGTTACTCAAAGAAACGTTTGCAAAAAATCGCTAAAGTTTGCTAACGTCATATTACTGACTGCACGATAGTGCCACAACATAGGCTATTTTCATGTCTGATCAGGGCAATAATAACCACCATAGACATTGAGGAGGGCTAGTACTCCCAATAATTATAAATCGCTAAACCCTTTTTTTATATATATATAAATATTGCCAATTCGAGAGAGAGAGAGAGAGAGATGAAAGTTGCGTGTGTGCGCGTCTGTGTGTTTCTGAATATAATGAAATCTCAACAGACTCCACATAATTACTATAAAAGTAATATTAAAGTTGGCCATGTTGATTTGTGCACTATTTTCCAATTACAGGCAGAAATGTAAGTTTTCATTTGCTGAAAACCATCACATCCACCCTGCTTGTCCAGTTCATGAATGACTGAATCGATTATGCACTTCGGTTCAAGCTGCTTTCTGGCTCTAAAATGATTTAAGAATGCAGACAAGTCTGATCTTTTCATTGATTCACTTGATCCAATTCACAAAACCTGAACAATTTGTTCACTAGACTGATCTGTGCTCCATTTCCCCCAAAAATTGTAAGCCGCTTGTGTACTGCAAACACATACCAGCTTCATAACTGTGTCTGTCAAGTGACTCTGTTCCACTTACGGGCTCTGTCTTTACATTTATTTTGAAAGATGAAGCTCGCGATTATGGTAAGGGGCTTTACATTTCCGACAAGTGCTTGCGGTGTTGCGGCCAATCACAATGCACTGGGTCAGCTGGCCAATCAGAGCAGACTGCGCTTCTCGGAAGGAGGGACTTTGTAGAAGTGTTTGAGAGAGGCGGGGCATAGAGGACCTACAATAATGTACAGTATTTGAAAAATAATGTGTTTTTTGAACATTAAAGCATGTCAACATATTCTGTTACACCAAATACACAAAATAATGATCTTTAAAACAGCATCATGTGAACTAATTAATGGAATTATTAAATAACCTCATAAATTACAATAAGTATTACATTAAAAGTAACACATGCCACTTGGGGCCTTCTTTATCAATTCTGAGGGCCCATCTGTAACGGAGCGAACGAGAAGTGAGACGTGCGGATCCATCTGCAAAGCTTTATTCAAAGGCGTGGGCATAAAACAATGTTCTGACAATGGCAAACAAGTATAATGAGGGCAAGACAAAAGAGTAGTCCAGAAAACAGGCGAGGGTCAATCAACGGCGAACGTAATCCAACAGGGCAAGGCAAAGAGATAATCCAGGTTCACAGCAATAATCCAGGCAGGGGCAAACAGAGTCTGAACGGCGAGAGACAAAAGGGTAATCTGAAAAACACAGGCAAGAATCTGAACACAGGAAAACAGGCAAGGCGAGACTATAGGCGCATTTCCATTACAGATTTGCGCAAAACTTTGGTGATATTTTCTGAATGTCGATAAAAAAGTATTGCGAAATGACGGCGTTTCCATTAACCAATGTTATGCGGCTAAAACGTAACCTTTTGCCTCTTGCGATAAGTCATGGCAACGGATTTTGGTGGGATTTTGATGGATTTGGCTATATTTATTCAAAAGAGGCTTATGCGTGTATCTTTACAGAAGCAGCAAAAAGAGCCGCTTCAGAAAGGTTTGTGGCGCGGCTGGAATAAACCATAGACTGTACAAAAACATAAACACAAGCATTGCGTGGCTGCAATCAGCTTCTGTGGCCGTATCAGAGCCACACTGCACCGCAGACGTGTGCAGTGTAAATTGTCTAAGCATTAATGGTAGGGAAAGCCCCTTACTGGAGCGTGGCCACTTATGAAGTGTTTCTTGGAGGTTATAGTATGTTGAAGAATGATCATATGACTTTTTACATATGCCATGTGATCTGTAAATGCGAAAAAGCCGTTTCCATTGCAGTTTTGCGAATTATTCCTTTTTCGCATTGCCTGAAAAACCACCTCATGCAAGCGTAAAAACTTTTTTGCGATATATGGGTGTTTTTGCGAAATTGACGCGTTTCCGTTAGCTGTATTTTCAATTCGCAATTTCAATTTGTGCAATTTGAAGGGTAATGGAAACGTGCCTTATGACTAGACTATGAAAACTAGAACTGGCTCCGTAGAGTAGCTATCGCTAGGAGAGTGATAAATGCTATATAATACTCTGCGATTTGAAAGAGGAAGTCCATGGCTTATAAAGTGTCTTAGATTGGTTACAGCTGTGTGTGTCATTAGTGCAATGGATGCTGGGAAATGTAGTCCGTGGTGACATGTGGAAGTCTGTGAAGTGTGACAGTCAATATAATGGAAGAGCGATCTCTGGTGGCAAGCGGATGGAAGTCCATGGGCAGGATTCGTGACAGAAAGAAGAGGTTTCCAGACGCTCCCAAGAAAGTATAATACAGGACAGTGGTGGAGTGGAGGCGGAACAGGGGGAGGGACGGAGGGCCAGGTCCATGTGGAAGTGGAGGGACAGGGGACTGAGGAAAAGCCAGCAGAGCAGGATGCCAAGGTGGAGCAGCGAGCCAGGGTAAAGCCGGCAGAGCAGGAAACCAGGACAGATCCGGCAGTATGGGTGGAACTGAGGACCACCACGACGGAGCAGAAGACCACCAGAGCCAGACAGCAGACCACCATGGCGGAGCAGATGGAGCAGAATACCACCACAGCCAGACAGCAGACCACCATGGCAGAACAGACGGAACAGAAGACCACCACGACGGAGCAGAAGACCACCACGACGGAGCAGAAGACCACCACGGCAGAGCAGATGGAGCAGAGACCCCTGGTAGAGACTGGGACCTAGGGAAAACTGAGACACAAGAAACAGACAGTGAATATATGGTCTCAAGGACTGAGGCAGGGAACACAAAAAGTTAATCAACAGGCTCACTGACTGGAACTGAACGTTCAACATTGGAATCACTGGTAAAGCCTGGTTGAGTAGGCAGCAAGACTCATAGATTGAGGCGAGGGTCAATCAACGGCAAACGTAATCCAACAGGGCAAGGCAAAGAGATAATCCAGGTTCACAGCAATAGTCCAGGCAGGGGCAAACAGAGTCCGAACGGAGAGACAAAAGGGTAATCCGAAAAACACAGGCAAGAATCTGAACACAGGCAAGCTGTAAATGCGAAAAAGCCGTTTCCATTGCAGTTTTGCGAATTATTCCTTTTTCGCATTGCCTGAAAAACCACCTCATGCAAGCGTAAAAACTTTTTTGCGATATATGGGTGTTTTTGCGAAATTGACGCGTTTCCGTTAGCTGTATTTTCAATTCGCAATTTCAATTTGTGCAATTTGAAGGGTAATGGAAACGTGCCTTATGACTAGACTATGAAAACTAGAACTGGCTCCGTAGAGTAGCTATCGCTAGGAGAGTGATAAATGCTATATAATACTCTGCGATTTGAAAGAGGAAGTCCATGGCTTATAAAGTGTCTTAGATTGGTTACAGCTGTGTGTGTCATTAGTGCAATGGATGCTGGGAAATGTAGTCCGTGGTGACATGTGGAAGTCTGTGAAGTGTGACAGTCAATATAATGGAAGAGCGATCTCTGGTGGCAAGCGGATGGAAGTCCATGGGCAGGAT